AGCGAGTTCCTGATGGTCAATAACGAGAAGGCAGGAGTGGAGGCCAAGAGGATCATCCGGCAGTTCGTCAGCGGATGGGGATTGGATGGAGGGGCAGCCGTGGTCAATAGCACCATGGTGGGCCACGTGGATGAGCTGGGACTGGGGAGCAACTACTGTACCGCTCGTGGTGTTGTCCTGCCTCTGGATGATGGGATGAGTGTCATCAACACCAAGTTTGTGAACTTCGACCGTCCGTCGTGTGCTGCAGTCGGGGTGGCAGAAATAGTTGGAACCTGCATGCTCCGCTGTGGAGGCTGGAGTGCAAGATTCAGTGGGATCCAGTACTATCAGTCGCCCAACAAGGCCTGGTTCAGATGGGAGCATGAGGTGGCACTGGTAGATACTGATGGGTCACTAACAGGTAGAGAAGCATTAGATATTACAGTATTTAGATACATAATTTGAGAAAAAATGTTAATGGATTGAAGATTTACATAGCTTTATTAGCATGGTACAGACAACCTCAAAAAAGCATTGGTAACATAAAAAAATAAATGACTGAATATAAATATTTTATATTTCTGAAAAGGCAATGTTAGCTACAAGGTAGTACCAAGGAATGACTTGCTCGACCCAAGACGCTGCTTCCCAGGAACAGAGTGGAGTGTTGGCGTTCCTGCTGCAGTATGTGACAACACTGTTAACTTCCACCGCATGGTCGTCGTCAATCCCTCACCGCCTTCACTTCAGTCTAAAGATGTCATTCTAACCAACTCATATGGTATGATGATGAAATAAACTGGGCGATTGAGCTATGAAAAAATGTGTATGAATTTGTTATACAACTCACTTTTACTGCATACTTTCCCGGCTACATTCTTTGGTTTCCAGAAAGAAGGGTTCTTTGGGCCGTTCACGTATAACACGTTTTAGCACAGGGCAGGGGAATGAAAAAGTCTAAAGTATGTTTTTTAATAGTTCAACTACTTTTAACTTGAGTGACCAAAACATCCATCTAGTGCATGTTTACATGGAAAAACAATGGAAGAGCAGAGCAGTGGAATGCAAAAATGCGTTCTAGACTGTTAGGAACTGGCCCTCTAAAATGATTCTAAACTGAAAATAACTAAAGATTTTGTACACTAACATTGAGGGAACATTATTTAAGTTGAAGTGGGCTGTGATGTTTAGAAAAACATCTTGGTTGGCACAGTTCATCTCAATGTCATATATCTCTTTAGGGACATGTGTGCTTCCTTTCCTTAAAAAACTGGTGACCCACACATTTGGCTGGATGGCAATGGTGCCCACAGGCCAAACATACAACTGGTACTTTGATGGTGCTTCCCAAATCACCAACATCTCGTACAATGGAATGGTCTACGGCTTTCGGGTAAAGTATGCACACTACACAATAATCCTAATGTACATTTAAAGGAAAAGTTAAATACCCTTAAAATGTTTGTAACACAAAAAGAGAGTTTTTAAAAAAAGTCTTTACAGCTGTTGTCATGCAACAACAGTTCATAATGATCATGTCACACTTCAAAAAGGACTCCATACTCCATTTTCAAACTTTTTGATGCCTGGGATTAAAAAGAATATGCTCTATATTTTGATGTACCTGTGTAAAGACTTTATTTTTCTAATATATAATTGACATTTTTATGGATAGCATGTTGTTTGTAACATTAATTAGCTTTTATGTCATCACTGTACTGAAGCCAATGCAAATGATTAAAATATCTATATTTTCTACCCACTATGTCATGTTAGAGTTATACACCTGAAGAGAAACATTTTCCTTTAAATTCGATTTTCAGAATATTGTTCCAATGAAGCATGTTAAAAATGATTGCAGTTTATATTGTTATAATATTACATTTTTAAAATGATTTTGATATTTCAAGTTTACATTTACTTTCCTCAGTTTGTAAACCCCAGACTTATTGTATGACTCCAAAAGACTTGAATGCTAAATTTACAATTTGTGCAATATATAACATGTTAATTTGTCTCTTTCTTAATGACAGCCAGAACATTATGTAATTATCAACCACAACCTGACCCAGACACCTGACCGGTTCCGCATCATAGATGACAGGAATGGCTCCTCCCAGCCCTTGAATCCCACTGCGAATGTAAATGGGGATTGGTACTTCAACCGGACATCCAAAGGCCTCTATTACATGGGTAAAACTTCTCATCTCTTCACCCAAGACATCTATGCTATCTTTCTATCCTATCTTATTCTATTTGTTTCAGTAGTAGTCCTGTACAAAGAATGAAAGATTTTGAATTTTGTGTCTACAGTGTCTGGAAGAGACCGTGTTGTTAGCCGGAGGAAGAGGAACAGTGTGGACCGTTCGGTTGTAGACAGATCGCTAGACTTCAGAGTGTATCAGTGTTACTATCCCAACTGTATCCAACCTTTCCCTGGTTCTGTAGCCAATACATCCAACACAACTGGCCGCAGACCTGCAAACTATGTGTATGTTACCACACACATCAGTAATAATAATACTAATGTATTGTATCTGTTTACTTTGCTAATAAAACATATCCTGTTGGTTTAGTCTCTGGTCAAATACATCATTTTGGAGGTCAAGCTCAGTGAACAACTTCAATGTGCCACAAGATGGCTCTGATGTGAATATTCCAGCTGGTAAATCCCAAGCAAAGACAGAAAGGAAAAGCTATTCAACAATATGGTATGTCACTTTCATGAAATCCTATAGTGGCCAAAAAAATCAAAATATCTAATTCTGTCTCAAAGGCATTTGGATGGTTGTGGATGTTGTTGTGCCCTCCCTGAACAAGCTGAAAATAGTTGGAGTTCTGGAGATTCCAGACACAAACAATGGCACCACCTCCGGCAGTGTATCTCAATACAACAACATTGTTTTGAATGCCACATATATCTCCATTCAAGTAAGTACATAACTACATTCAAATTGGCATAGACATTTTAGGATCATTACACCAAGTAGAACCAGACTCTTCATGTGTACTCATTTAATTAATTCTGTTCAACTGTCTCTGTACACGTTTACTAAATCAGGGTGGACGTCTGATTGCTGGCTGGCCTGATGAACCCTTCAGAGGTCAACTACAGATCATACTGAGAGGAAGCCATTCCACACCAGACTGGCTATTGCCATCTGGACTAAACCAAGGGTCCAAAGTTCTGGGTAAATGAACATAAATAAAAGATGGATATCATTATAGAACATATTTGCATTAGAAATGTTCCTATTAATCGTCTGCCAATTTAAAAGTGTTGATTTCAGTAGAAACCTTGTCTTTTAGGTGTGTTTGGATCTCTTGACCTGTATGGCATGCCACACAATGTGTATCACACTAAGCTTGCTAGCACGTCCCAAGCAGGAAACAGCACTATCTCACTACAGGAATCTGTGGACTGGAAGGTCAGAAGCTTTTTAAAAATGATAAAAAAAAAAAAAACAGAACAGAGAGATTTAGAAAACTATTGAACCTGCTTGTGTGATTTGCAGATGCCATTTAGATTCCAAGCTCTGTTTGTGCTCCGAATCCTCTTTGTCTGAATAAAAACACTCTTTTATTACCTTCAGGTTGGGGATAAGATTCTGCTGTCCACCACCAGCTATGACCCTTGGCAGACAGAAATCCGCACCATCACTGCGGTCACAGATTATGGCCGCACACTGACTCTGGACCTGCCTTTATCATACACACACATTGGTTGGTCCCCCTAGATCCATTATAGCAATAATAGACATTGTGCTGTATTGATAAGCTGTTAAATATTGTTCAGAAGCTAGGGTTGGTTAGATATTTTTACATTTTACATTTTAGTCTTATGCTCACCAAGGCTGCATTTATTTAATCAGAAACACAGTAAAACAGTGTGAAATATCATTACAATTTAAAATACTGGTTTTCCATTTTAATATATTTTTTAAATGTTATATATTTCTGTCATGATAAAAATTTCCTTCAGAAATCATTCTAAGATGCTGATTTCTTATCATCAATGTTGAAAACAGTTGTGCTGTTACACTTTTTTCAGGATTCTTTCTTCAATAAAGTTTAAAGAAACAACGTTTAATTCAAATAAAAACATTTTGTAAAATTGTATGTTTTTACTGTCAATTTATTATGAATTTAATGCATCCTTGCTGAGTAAAAGTATTAATTTAATTTTAAAAAGATCTCATTGACCCCAAAGTTTTGAATGGTAGTATATAATTAAATAATTGTATTAAATAAATGCATTAGATTTAATATTAAATGTATCTGGTCATATAGGGGAGAGCTACAGTGTGCCAGGTACTTCAAGAAGTTATCAGCTTGCAGGCAATGTGGCTTTACTGACCAGGAACATCAAGATCATCGGTCAGGAGTATCCAGAAATGAACACACAGTCTTATGGAGCCAGAGTTCTGGTGGGAACCTTCTTCAGTGGAGGAATCGATTTCAGAGGTATAAACTTTATAAAATTCTCATGTTGGGCCTCATTCTTTAAATACAATCAGGACAAATTATAGGCTACACAAAACCATAAGGCCCATTCACCTGGAAGAAAAAAAAAATGTTTTGTTGTTTTAAATAAGAAAAAATCTTCTGAGCAATTATTTTTAAAGAAGTTCATGTTAATATAATATTTCTGTATTTGCACATTGTAAGTAACAAAAACTGCTGATGATACTTACATCACAGGAAAAGCCCAGATCAGAAATGTTCAGTTCTACCACACCGGGCAGGAGGGATGGAACGACCTGTCAGACCCACGATACTCTCTGCTGTTTTATAACTTAGGAGGGGTGAGAGAAAGTCTTAATCAGTACATGCCCATTCTTTATCACATTCACACATATTCCTGTCAATTACTTGTTGTCACTATATTTTTAGGTGGTTGGTGAATCTTACATCAAGGGATGTGCTTTCCACAACGGCTTTGCTCCTGCTATTGGTGTTTTCGGGACAGATGGACTGAGTATTGAAGACAACGTGATCCATCACACGGTTGGAGAAGGTACAGATTCAGTGGTAGCTTCACTGTTCAATGTTAACACAAAATGAAAATACTATTAAACAAATTGTAATCGCTATGCAGCGGGGTGATATAATTTAGCATTATGACTATTCTGTTCTGCAATTTCTATTCAAATTTTCCAGGAATCAGAGTCTGGGGTGACAGAAATGTGGTCCGGAGGAACTTGGTTACAATGACACTGTGGTCTGGATCGTATAACGGCAGAGCGGAGGAATTCAACTTTGAATGGAATGCAGCCATTGAGGTACCCTTTACAGAAAAGTACTGTGATCAGATGGTAATACCATGGTACTTTGTTATATAACAATACAGAATGATTACATATACATTTACCATATTATTTAGATGGTGATTCAAGAATACCATGGTACATGTCCAAAAAACATAGCATTATCATGGTATATGTCTAAAACGCAACAGTACTTTTTTGTTAGTGACAATAGAGAGAAACCTATTTGCCATATAATCATCAGTAAATACCAGATAAAGAACTGATGCATTATTGTTCATTTTCTAGGTGAGTGAGGCAACCAATGTGATTCTTCAAGGGAATATTGTTGCTGGCTATGAACGAGTGGGATACCGAATTGATGGAGAATCATGTCCAGGTATATAAAACTTTGTTTTAAAAGAGGAAATTAATTTAATACTTTGATAGACAGAGACAGTGTTCATTCTACGGTGTTAATTCCAAGGCTTAAATACTAATATTTAAATTCTATACTATTTTGTCTAAATAAAAAATAAAACACTTAAAACTAAAATTGTTTTAATTGCTACATCACAATTGTAATGTATAGCATGAAAAAATAATTTTGACAGATTACATTTAAGTGTTATTACTGTATTAGATAGTGTGTTAGTCTAGATATAGTATGTATAGTATGAAATGATGGAAAAAGCATGCACAATTACATATACTCTATTAGCAGATATAATTGCGTAAGCAAAACGTTTAACATTGACTGAATATCATACCAATACCAATATCTTGTGCATCACTAATATGAACCTTTCACGTTCAGTATTTACTGATTCAATTATTTCAACAATGTCAAAAGGATCTCCAAATTCAGTGGCACAGTGGAGTCAGAATGAGGCACACGGTGGTCTGTATGGACTCTACATGAATAAAGATGGACTTCCTGGTTGCTCTCAAATCCAGGGATTCACTGTCTGGAGAAGCTTTGATTTTGGCATTTATGTCCAAGTATGATAAATGATCCACAAACTTCCTACCATAATTGCTAGTTATACAAATGCAGTATGCTGGTCTGGTGATTATTGTTTTTAAGTAATGTTCTCTCCTCACCTCTAGGTATCCATGAATGTTTTAATTTCCAATGTAAGCCTGATAGATAACGGAATGGGAATCATGTCTCTAATCTACAGTCCTTCCTCGCTCAGCCACGCATACTCTGACAAAACAGTCCGTGTACAGGTGAGGAAGCACTATATGTCTCTTCGGTCAAAACTAAGAAAACATTCTTTTAGTAATATATATTTTTTAAACATCACTCCAGGGTGCCCTGATTGTAGGCAGTAGCCCCAACTTCAACTGTTTTGACAGTCTATCCACAACTATGACGTACGTTGCACTCAGCAGAAGTCACAAGGCCCCACGTCCTCCTAATGGTACAATACATATTATAGAATCATCCATTCACTACTGAATAAATTTAATATAACTGATCCATTTTCTGAACTAATTCTAACTGCATTTGTATGTTCAACAGGTGGCAGGTCTGGAATTTGCTGGCCGACATTTGAATCGAACCATAACAATGGACCACAAAAACCTCTCACTGGACTGATGAGCTATAACGCCATAGCTGGTATAATGATGGTCTCTGGTGAGTCTCGAAATGTGAATGAATCTCCAGTTTAAAACCTTCTACAGTCGACGAAGATCTCCTATAAAAAGTAATTACCGTTTTCTCTTTCTGACTCCAGACACAACTTTTGTTGGGTTCAAGAGTGTGTGCTCAACAGAGAGAAATTACATGTTCATGACCAACCCGGGAAATGAGGATCTACAACATCCAATCAGTGTTGAGAGGATTTCCAAGATAAACAGCACAGAGGACTCTCTAGCATTCATTCATCGGCCTGATCTGGGGTAAACTGAACATAACTACCAGTGCGCAATAGGTTTTCTCTAACTCAGAATTGCTCATTGTACCCTTAATGCAACATCATGTCACCATGAATATAAAAATTGTCCCCAAAATAATGAAATTTGTGATCATTAATCTATATATTATTATTTATATTATTTTATAATATTCTAATATAATATATTCTATATGTTAGCTGTCAAAATTTTGGAATAATACATTTTTTTTTATTTAATGTTTTTGAAAGAAGTGTTTTATGCTCACCAAGATTGCATTTGTTTGATCAAAAATACAATAAAAACAGTAATATTATGAAATATTTAGTGCTGTCAAACGATTAAACGCGATTAATCGCATCCAAAATAAAAGTGTTTGTTTCCATAACATGTGTGTACTGTGTATATTTATTATGTGTATATATAAATACACACACATGCATGTATATATTTCAGAAAAATATGCTGTTTATATATTAAATATATTTATACAATACATGTAAATGCAATGTAAATACATGTAAATATTTTCAAAATATATACTGTATGTGTGTGTCTTTATATATACATAATAAATATACACAGAACACACACATATATTATGGAAACAAAAACTTTTATTTTGGATGCGATTAATCGTATGACAGCACTAGAAATATTACAATGAAAAAAGTCATTTTTTCTATTTTAATATATTTTAAAATGTTATTTATTCCTGTGATGGCAAAGCTGAATTTTCAGAAGCCATAACTCCATGTCTTCGGTGTCACATGATCCTTCAGAAATCATTCTAATATGACGATTTGCTGTGTATAATGCTTTATTAAACTGATTGGGTCCTGGGATGACGAAAAATCATTAAGGCGGCATGATATTTTACCAAAATATTAAAGACTTACAGTTTAACTTAAAATGTGCACATAACATTGCTTTAAGATAAAAGTGGCCGATTTCTTTCTTTCACTTTTATATCAGCAAGGTGAACCCTGCGGACTGTGTGGACATGGACTGTGATGCTAAGAAGAAGACTATTTTGAAGGATCTGGATGGCAGTTTCCTGGGTGCCGTGGGAGCAGTGGTGCCCCAGTCTGAGTACGAGTGGGACGGGGATCCCCGGCACGGACTGGGCGATTACCGCATCCCCAAAGTCATGCTCACCTATCTCAATGGCAGCCGGATACCTGTGATTCAAATCGCTCCTTACAAAGGTACATCTGAGGACAATTGATTATTTACGCTGCTCTAAGAGAGAGTGCTTAGAATGATGGAGTTGCTTCTAGCATTGACGTTGCTTGTTTCCCTGTGCAGGTGTGATCAGAAACACTTGTACGTACATGAGCACCTGGCAGAGCTACAAGTGTTTTGGGCTCAACTACAGAATGCTGGTCATAGAAAGTCTGGATGCAGACACAGAAACCAGGCGTCTTTCACCTGTAGCCATCCTGGGGGACAAATATGTGGATTTGATAAATGGTATGACTCATAACTCCCCTCGTACTGCTAATTTAACATCTACCGCAAGCAGAAAAAGGTGTGTATTAATGATTTTTATAAACTTACTGTGAATATCTTGTCACAGGCCCACAAGACCACGGCTGGTGCGCCGGCTACACGTGTCAGAAGCGAGTATCTCTATTCCACGCCATTGTTGCCACCAATAAATCCTTTGACATCTATTTCACCAGCACAACACCACAGAAGCTGAGACTTATGCTGCTAAATGCTGGACCTACAGAGGTTAGTCAGTAAGATGGATTATAAAACACACAGCATTTACAGGTCACACAAAATTGAAAACAATAAAAGGCATAGTAAGAAAAAAAACTTAAATTTTTTTTTCTTATTTATAATTTCTCATGTGTATTGTTATTAAATTGACATTTTGTTTACATTTAGTCTTGTTTCTTTTAAGAATTTCTTATCTACATTGTTATTAAAATTGTTTTATTTACATTGTGTTATTTCTAGTTTTGTCATATATATATGGAAAAGTTGATTGATATATACAGTGGGTACGGAAAGTATTCAGACCCCCTTAAATTTTTCACTCTTTGTTATATTGCAGCCATTTGCTAAAATCATTTAAGTTAATTTTTTTTCCTCATTAATGTACACACAGCACCCCATATTGACAGAAAAACACAGAATCGTTGACATTTTTGCAGATTTATTAAAAAAGAAAAACTGAAATATCACATGGTCCTAAGTATTCAGACCCTTTGCTCAGTATTTAGTTATATATTTTATTTATACAAAAATAAAATATAAAAAATATAATATATAATTACTAAATATATATAAGATTATCTGCAATTATTGTATGTTTCTCTCTTTTTTTTTTTTTAGATTATACAATATTACAATAGACACTTTATTGAATTTATTCAGTATACTAAAGCACTGTATTCTACACTAATCTTCTGTTGTCCTCAGGCTGTCAGGGTGGCTATATTTTACTCAAACCCTCAGCGGCTGGATGTGTATGTTAACAATAATTTGATTGGTCCAACAAATGCTCAGTGGAATACAGACAAAACGGACTACACGCTGTGTGAGCCAACTTCTACAGGTAGAGTACAGCGTGATTATTCATGTTAAACAGCTCCCCCTGCAGGCTAGAAGACCAAAACCTATTTTAAATCCTCTCTACGCTCCTCAGGTCAATATGTTCCGGGTTTCAACTCCAGTCATGGCTCCAACTTTTTTGACCAAGACTACAAAATGATGAACATACTTCTTCGTGGCTCAGAGCCGGTCCAAATCCGCACCTCTCCAGTTCTGTTCCTGGCCTTCAACCTCCCGGCCATGACTGAGGAGGAGTTCTTCGGGGAAAATCTGGTCAACAATCTGGCTGCATTCCTGAAAATACCCCCAAACAAGATTCGAATCACCAAAATCGTCCGTGAGGGAACTAATGCAAGAAGGCGGCGCTCAACAGGACTGACAGTGGAGGTGGAGATCAGGGAGCCTCCTGTCCAGAATTCCACCAGCAACAGCACTGGTTAGACCCGGCATCTATAGTGTGTTAAAAATAAATGATAAATGCAGTGTTTAGTCACAATACAATGTCTGAAATTGTATATTTCTATACCGTCTGCAGAAGAAGACCAACAGTTTGAGGTCCTGAAGAACATTGCTGATGATCTGGGTCGCGCTGCTGTCTCCGGCAATCTGAGTCAGTCCATCGGCTTCAATGTGTCGTCCCTGGGCATCATCCCTCCTCCTCCGTCTTCCAGTGACCCATCCTGGAATGATGTAAGATTTGATTTAATATTTTATGATATGAAGCACCGTTTAGAAAGTTGATATTAAAAGGAATATTCTGGGTTATTTTCAACTAACCAAACAAAAATGAGTGAGGTAGTGTATATATGTATATATCACCATTTTTGCTTTTTTTCAAAGAAAATAACACACATACATACAGTCAAACTAAAAATGATTCAGACACCAGATATAATTTTTTATATTTTTTTACTAGAGGGTGCAGGACACTATAGTTCATTTATGTAAGTGAGGATACCAAAATAAAGTAAACTGTGACACATTATACCCAAAAATTCTTCATAAAGTGGACTACAAGTGAAATTGATAAAAAATTTGGGACCAAAATTTATTCAGACACTTTGACCTCATGTTTTGCTTAAGTGTTTTTTCTGTAATTGCTAATGCGACCTTTTTACACCACAGACTGAACAAAATTAAGCATTGCTTGGTAATTGGGTGACCTGAATTGGTATTATCTAATTGTTTACTTAAATTTAACAGCTGACAGCTTTCAACTTAAGTTATCTGACATTATCAAGATTAATTTGTTCTGACAGAGTTTAACTCTGAGTTCTTGTCATATTTTATTACCATTTTCTAAACTATAGCGAATAAACTGTGATAATGTGAGAAATGTTGAAGGTGTCTGAATAAATTT